TGATGAAGTAATCGATAAATTTGCAGAAATGAAGGCTCGAAGGCAGCGGATGTGAATCACTGCACATTACCTCTGCTGAATAGACTGAGTGGTCACTTTGGATCTGTGTGTTTTTTTGTTTTTTAGAAAGTGTATTAACTGTTACGTAAATGTTAATTATTAAAATTTTATTTATTTCTAAGTTAATTTATTTTTCATAGTTCCATTTTTTTCAAGTTGATATACAGTTTACAAATTTGTGCAATAAATATTATTGAAAACATTGAAAAAATTGTGGGTGTTTTCTTACATTTTTATTATGGGGGGGGAGTATGCCACACTCAGGGTCCGCCCCAGGTGCCAAATGCTGTAGGTACGCCCCTGCATGTACATATTGTTTTTAAAGTAGACAACCCAGGGTGTTCATTATGGGGTATGTCCAGTCTTTTTTAGTAGCAGTCTTTACTTAGTCACAAACACTGGGCAAAGTTAGCATTTATATTTGTTTGTGTGTTAAAAATGCAAAAAACTATTATGAACGATAACTTTGGCCAGTGTTTTTGACTAAGTGGTTACTAAGAAAGACATACCCCATTTGCAATACCTTGGGTTGTCTTCTTTTGCAAATGGTATGCCATCATTGGGGTAATTCTCATTCCTGGGCTACCATACGCTATCAAAGGCAACATAACCAACCTGGCAATTTTTGAATGTAAAAATATTTGACCCTTATATTTGACCCTGTAACTTTCAAAAACACTATAAAACCTGTACATGGTGTGTACTGTTATACTCGGGAGACTTTGCTGAACACAAATATTAGTGTTTCAAAACAGTAAAATGTATCACAACAATTATACCATCAGTGAAAGTGCCGTTTGTGTGTGAAAAATGCAAAAAAAGTCACTTTCACTGACAATATCATCGCTGTGATATGTTTTATTGTTTTGAAACACTAATATTTGTGTTCAGCGAAATCTCCAGAGTATAACAGTACCCCCCATGTACAGGTTTTAGGGTGCCATAGAAAGTTACAGGGTTAAATACAGTGCTAGCAAATTAAATTCTCTGGACTTACGGCCTGGGTTGTCAGGCAGGTCCCTCAAATTGCAAACAATAAAACTACTTAATTATGTAAAAATATTACATAAACACACACGTATAATTTAAAAATATATGCATATTTATATATATGACGTCTACTTGTATATTTATGAAACTTTTTATGAAATTTTGTATATGGATATATATATATATATTTTGATTTATTTATATATACATAGATGTATATATAATTTCATTCTAAGTGTATTTTGATATAAATAGATACAGTTGCAAGAAAAAGTATGTGAACCCTTTGGAATGATATGGATTTCTGCACAAATTGGTCATAAAATGTAATCTGATCATCATCTAAGTCACAACAATAGACAATCACAGTCTGCTTAAACTAATAACACACAAAGAATGAAATGTTGCCATGTTTTTATTGAACACACCATGTAAACATTCACAGTGCAGGTGGAAAAAGTGTTCTCCCCCCACCTGTCCCAAGTGCAGTATTCTTGACTTTCATGTGATCATTACTATCTTTCATTGTGATATATAATCATCTGAATTATTAATACAAGCATGTCTGTTGAACTATGCACTACAAAAAAAACAAAAATATATAAAAGATTGATTTTTATTTTTTTTCATTTCGGCCAATTTGAACCGTTTTCGGTCAAAGCGGGATAGGCCAATTTTCGGCCAAAAATTTTGGCAGCCGAAATTTCGGTGCATCCTGTCAGCCAATTATAAGTTTATTGTCACGTGTAACCGATACCAATGATAACACCTATCAGGACATGTATGTCGTACTGTATACTCCTTGCTTATCTCCCTAGTTAATAAAAATATATCATTAAAAATAAAAGAGGCGCACAAAATTTCACTATCTGAGTCCACACAACCTTATCTTGTTGACTCTTATAGCTGTTTTTCTGATGCCCTTAAAGGACCACTATAGTGCCAGGAAAACATACTCGTTTTCCTGGCACTATAGTGCCCTGAGGGTGCCCTCACCCTCAGGGTCACACTCCCGCCCGGCTGGATGGTGAGGAAAAGGGTTAAAACGTACCTTTTTTTCCAGCGCCGGGCGGGGAGCTCTCCTCCTCTTCGGCTGAATGCGCGCACATTCAGCCAGTCTCATAGGAAAGCATTCATAATGCTTTCCAATGGACGCTGGCGTCTTCTCACTGTGACTGTCAATGAGACAGCCACTAGAGGCTTTATTAACCCATTTATAAACATAGCAGTTTCTATGAAACTGCTATGTTTATAGAAGAAAGGGTTAATCCTAGAGGGACCTGGCACCCAGACCACTTCATTAAGCTGAAGTGGTCTGGGTGCCTAGAGTGGTCCTTTAATGCTAGCCTCACTTGGTATACAAATATATATTGCACATGTTTTGTTGTCTATGCATTTATTTATTTTTATTTAAACTTTAAGAGCCCACAAGTAATTTTAACTTTGTTTATGCCATTATCAACATATGAGATTGTGACACGGTTATGATGTCATCATTTGAACAATTGTTTCTCACCAGTGCATGAGGGAACACTCACTCAATACTGAATTGGCTGCATTGCTGTTCAGTGCGCTAGAGTTGTCCTTAGAGTTTTATTACTAATTTTATCAATTATCCACACACAGTGTTTCACACACACATTGTAAAATTGTGGTACTGTGAACAAACAGTTGGAAACAAAAATGACAGACGAGGCAACAGTCCTTGACATTGAGGAAACGATATCTGAGACAAAAGATTCCAGTACAGAAAGTAAATCTGGATGGTTTCAAAATCTGATCTTATGGATACGTTTATTTTGGACAAAACTATGTGATTTCGGAAGGTGTCTAAGACTGCGGGATTGCAATTGGTGCTCTTTCGCCTGTTTTGAGAAACAAAACATTACAGGGATTTTGACAGGCAGAGGGAGAGCCGAAAATCTCACCTGTGAGCAAGACATCATCAACTTCCTCAACAATAACCGCAGCAAAGTAACCGGAGACAAGAGCAAGCCCAAGGAAATTGAGGTACAAGGCTTTATTAGGAAGTATTAGGCTTGAGTAGACACTTAATGTACTTGTAATATATGTTATACATTTCATATATCAGCCATAAAAGTTATATATTGTTACAAAAAAAATGGAACAACGTAATAACAATAAGATTTAGATTTAAATGTAACTGTTTACACATTAAAAATAGGAAAATACATATAAACATGAATATATAGTAAGACATGATTAAGGATATCATAGAGATGGTTTGGAGGACTGACAGCTAATTATGACACCACAGATGTTTCCGAGCTACATTCCTATGGCTGGCTGAGCATCATGGGGAATATCATTGAGAAACAGTGGTTCCAATCATAGCCATCCTTGGTTTAGAGTAATAACAATAATACAACATCCAAGTCATATACCAATTCATTAATTACTGCTGTACAAGGACTAAGCAGAATCACGGGCACTTAAGATCCATTCTTCAAATGAAAATTTAGCCCAGTGACCCATTCTACCATTGCATTGTAGTTTATAACAGAAATGTAGCAAATAAAAAATAGACTGATCCCAAAGTGAAAGGTGGGTTTATTACACCTAGGAAGCAAAGACGCCGTAAAAAAGCATTTATTCAGAACAATTGCATGCACCTTCATTAATATGATGTGCTTATTCCAAACATTAACGACCCATTTAGCATAGGCACCTAATTTGGGATTTAGGAACCACTGCTCTACTATACAGTTCTATATATGTAAGTCACTGATGGAGAAATTGAAACATCTTTTCAAGAAGTTATCTCATACAAACAAGGTATGTTTTTAAAGGGGCATTTCAAGCACGATAACCACTATAGTACTCTGGCCTCCCCTACACCTCCCCAATTTGTAAGTAGCCAAACCAATGTAGACCAGGTTGACTTCTTACCTAGGATCTGTAAGGCGCCAGTCTACACCTACAGTACTTCTGACAGGCAGCTTTTCACTATGAGTTAAGCCTGGTGATACAGGGTTTAGCTCAGAAGGGCAAATGGAAGATATTGTCTAGGAGTTTCTGACTCTCCAAGTTAAGTAGCGGAGACATGGCATATGTGGACCCCTGGTAAAAAGCGATGCCTTGGTAAAACGTATTGACTACTGAAAATAGGGGTGGAGAAAGGGGGGAAACCAGGGACAGGGCCTCTTCTGGCACCAGAAACTACTACAGAACACTGTAGTGCTTATGGTGCCTAGAGCATTTCCTTATTTTTAGAAATTCTGTGAGTTCCTATTTGTTTAACATTAAAAAATGAACTATAGGGGCGGGGCCTGACACTCAAAATGGCCGGACGTATTTTATCATAGCTCCAGCCTTCCAAACCATGTATTGAGGCAAAACCGCTTAAAAGTGACACAGAAACAGCCTGATTCAAACTGCTGACCTACACCAACTCTACCTGCACCGTTTACAATGTGAATTGTGTTGGTCTGACAGGCCCTTACATTGTTCTGGCTCTGCAACCTGATCTGCCGGGCAACTCGAGAAGCAGCTGATCACTGACCCGGTGAGTGCACCACTTAGACTCCTCTGCGCAGCCACGTTACCACCCCGAACTGGTGGGGAATATCCCGGTCTATACTCGATCTCCACTCGAGCGCTGCCTAAAAATAGCCAGAAGACCCTGCAGGGCCCGCAGAGCTAACCTCCCGCCATGTGTGATCCAAGATGGTTACCGGAGGGAGTCCTGCAGCTCACTGGTCCCCCACAGCAGGGACCTTTCGCGAGGAACAGATAACCAAGCCTTCGATCACCTATGGTCACAACTATGGAACACAATTAGCCAAAGGGCAGAGAGGGATACAGTGACACTTGGAGCTCGGCCTGGCCCTTTAGGAAACTGCAACAACTTACACCCGGTCACGAAACATCCTGATGTCGCGCCTACAGCATGAAAACGAAGGACGCGGCTCGGAAAGGTATATACATGCCAAGAGTCTGGTCCCGCATCTGATCGCTGCCGTCCTGAACCTCAGTCCGAAATGGGTCGTACCCCTGGGAACAGCTCTCCACACAGGAGATGATGTCCGGCTAAACAGGCCTCAAAATCTGAACATGAGGGCACGGAAAGGCGGGTCTGTCGCACAGGATACCCTCGGGATCAAGAAACTAAGAGATCGGCTACTGAGCACAAAGGAGCTATGAGGGATCGCTTACATGGGCTGCCTTACATTGATAATGAACACAGAAAGTATATTCCAACGATGCCCAATTTAGATTGACAGTCCCTACTGTACATAATCCATAGCCATCACCTTGGGCCAGTTGTCCAATGTACCATTCACCTTTATTTAGTCTATTTGCTTGGTTTTAATCTTATCCCCCAGCCAAATCAACAGCCTAGAGAATCTGGTCTATGTATTTTAACACCCAGTGGCAATGTTAAATTTTTGCGATGCAGATGTGTGTTTTCTATGCTTTTTCCTCTTATCTCTCACATCTCTGCTCCATACACCGTCTAATTTAATTTTAATCCTAAAAATGTGCCATGGCACTGTTTCACACTGTTATTGCTTAGTTTGCTAATGATGTTGTGGCTTCACAAAATCATGTATTAACTTTTGCACAACAAAAATAAAGAATATATAAAAAAAAATTAACTATACACTTTTATTATTTAAAATACAGCATAAAACTTGTTTAAAACCTCTCTTTAGACAAAACCTAAGCAATACATATGAACGGGCATGCCCACCTATCAATTGCAAAAATCTGAAATTTATAATACAGTGTGGGTCATTGAGTCACTTCATTTAAGTTGAAAATAAGATTTAAAAAAAAGAAAAATAACAGTAGAGTTAACCTAGCCTTAAAATGGGCATACAAAAACAATGTCTTATGTCAATATCACTGTGCCTTTTTCTTGCCAGTACAGCATTTCAAATTAATGCATTTTTCCATTTCTAACCAGCGAATAGGTTATGCACCTTTAGAATTTTTTATGGCTTCAAGACCACCTGGGTCCAGTCCTAATTCCCAGGAAGACTCTGCCGAGTATCTCAGATTCCTTCTAAACAGGTACATATACTTGGTCTATACTTAGTCTATATAACTAGTAATAGTTGACTAGTTGTTGTTGACATTCAAAATACTCAATATTAAACGGTATTATTGAATTCATTTTAACTGATAATTTAGGAGGTGTTTCTTTATAAAATAGCTCAAGTTCATTGCTAAAATCTACATATTAGCTAATTAGTCTTTAAAAGATACACTCTGTGTGCATAAGAGAAATGTTGAAACTTTTAAATTTCCATTGTTCTTGCTTAATATTTGTTTGTGCATTAGATTGCAAGAAGAGGAGAAATCAACACAGTATTCAACAACTCGGAGCACAGAACTGGGGAAGGAAGAAAAAACTGTGATAGAAAGCATGTTTGGGGGAAAGCTGAAAACAAACACTTGTTGTAAGACCTGCAAAAGCACCTCCCAGAAGAGAGAAGATTTCACTGATCTTCCTCTGGCTTTCTCTTCATTTGTCAAACCAGCACCGGTAATGGCATGCTCTACCGAGGAAAAACATTACGATTCTGTTACAATCAATATGACCCCAGCTGCAGAATCACCCGCTGAGGAAAACATGAGCCATGGGCCTAGAAACATCTCATGTCAAAAAACTGGAGAGGAAAAGACAAAGGAAACACCTACGGTAAAAGACCTGCTACGTAGTTTCCTGGCACCAGAGGTTCTCGATGGAGATAACAAGTATCAGTGTCAAACATGTGCTTCCCTCCAGACAGCAGAAAGGACTAAGATGATTGTGGAAGAGCCACAATATCTCATTTTAACTTTACTGCGATTTGCCTATGATACAATCTGCAATGTGAAGCGTAAGATATTGAATCCTGTGTCCATTCCACTCGTACTGGATTTGCCTGTAGAGAGATCAACATCTCCGGCTACATCAGCAGATCAGACACTGGAGAATGAGAAAAGAAGAACTGAAGTAGAAGACCTGTCACATAACCAACAACAAGTGCCCTATGTTTTAAATTCTGTTGTGGTCCATTCTGGGTTATCATCTGACAGTGGTCACTATTATTCTTATGCGAGGGACATATCTGATAATTCAGGGTGTTCACATTCTGAAAAACACTCTTTGGCCCTTGGCTCTGTGAATGGAAATGAAGAATGGTTTCTGTTTGATGACAGCAGTGTTTCCAGGAAAACAACACACTTCGTATTAAACAGACAGCCTTCCATGGCCACACCATATATACTGATTTATAAAAAATCCAACTGTGGGGAGACACAAAGTGTTTAGCCTGGCCAAGCAAGAGGAGTCTAAGTCACCGAGGATATTCCACTTCAGAAGAAGCCCAGAAATATAATTAGAAGACATAATAAAGAATATGTAGACATGTAAAAGCAACTTTCATGTATTTTAATAAATAATATATGCTTAATTAAAATGTGTTAAAATAGTGTTCAAACTCCTACACCTTTATGGGCCTCCATTTATCCCCTTACCTACTTCGCCCATTTCATATTACATAACGTAACTATATGGAAATATTACCATTCATCTACATTATTAAATCCCATAATGTCATTTTAATCATTTCCCTATCTCAAATATATTTGTTTCACCTTCTCTAATTATAATAAAAAGTTAAAGTTAGTCGAAAAGGAGCCTAACTGTAATGCCAAGAGTCCAAACAGATAGTAAACACAACAGATTTTCTAGGGGTTAAACCATTTCATTATAATAGTTTTAATGCTGATATTGAAGCTGAATATATCCACTAACCAAGAAACAACTAGACAAGAATTGGTTCAAACTATAGTAGTAGTATAGTAGCAGTAGTAGTGATACGATCATGCAGAACAGCAGGGCTCAAAAGGACAAATTACCCATAAGCATTGTCTAATAGCGAATGGAAATTCGATCCAATCTGATGTGAAACTGATCCTCACTGCTTGGGAGGACCCAAGGTGCAAGGTGACAACATGGATGATGTATGTGATTGACAGTTGTAAATTAAATCACTGCTGACATACCTGAGTAAAGGAATAGTAGTTGAATAATAAATCTCCAATAAAATATTAACACTAAATTCCTGCTAAAAAAATATACATTGGGAAAGAAGTTACAGATTTTTGGGAAGACGATAGCTACTATTGACATTTGAATAGTAATGACACTGAGAGCTAGGGACTAAACATTGATTGGACGCCAGCTGGCTGACATCTCACTCCAATTAGCTCTTGGAGATGTCATTAGTCTAGGGGTTCACATACGTTTTCCACCTGCACTGTGAATGTTTACATGGTGTGTTCAATAAAAACATGGCAACATTTCATTCTTTGTGTGTTATTAGTTTAAGCAGACTGTGATTGTCCATTGTTGTGACTTAGATGATGACCAGATCACATTTTATGACCAATTTGTGCAGAAATCCATATCATTCCAAAGGGTTCACATACTTTTTCTTGCAACTGTATGAAGCTTATATAGGTGTGATGGTCTTTTAGTCATACAGTGTAGCAACAGGGTTTTTACCTGTTTCTTTAAGGAGGCACTGACATACGTAACGTTACATTATTTAAACGGTCGACGTTAGAGCCTCTGTGCACAATTAATGTGTTTTTACTTCAGTGCGGGATATTCTTTTTCCCTATTTAGGTTCCATCTATTTGAGACCAAAAGACTCTCCAGCGCTCCCCTGAATACCTTCCTCCTATTAACCAATTCCTTATTACTGAACCCGGACTGCCTAATAACTGCTCTCTCAGATCTCCCTTATTTTTTCTTATTGAAATCTTGTTGCTGAACCAGGACTGCCCAATAACTGCTCTCCCCGATCTCCCTTATTGTTACTGATAGAAATCTCATTGCAGACCCTGGACTGCCAACCAAAACTTCTCCCGGATTATCCATATTGATACAGTTTGATTACTTATTTGGAATATTTCTTCTCTTTCTTTTGAATTACAAATCAAGTCCTCATTTATTTTTGTATATGTTAGATTACCTAAGGTGCTTTCCTTATCCTGTGAAGTAGAGAAAACGTCTTAAAGGGGTAAGTAGTCTTTATTTGAATATTGCTTGACAATTAGAAAGATTGTTTCATGGGGGCGGGGCCTGACAGCCAAGATGGCCGGTAGCACACTCCAAGAGCTCCTGCTGTAACGGGCAAAAGAAAGCTACTACCGAGCGACCCAATCGAGCTAGCTGCAAAAGGTGCCCAGTAACTACTACAGGAAGACACGAGCAACGAAATTATACCTGCCGGGCACCGGAGAGCCACAGAAACACCAACTCGGCCATGTGGCCTAACCCAGAGTGGGACCTGAACCCCAGGGGAGACAGCCGTTTTCGCCGGCAAGAGTACACCACAGACCTGCTGCCCCCCCTCTCTGGACCGGCGGGGGTCATCCCGGTCCACGCTGGGGACAACCAGCCCTGCATCATTGACAGCCCAAGCGACAAAAACCTTAGCCACTCGAGACAGACGGGGCCTAGCCAAAATGGCAGCACCGACGCAACTTGCGACAAAGCCACTTATCACACCACCTAAGCACACACTGGAATTCTTCGACAAGCTCCGCACCTACCTCTGGACAAAGCTTGCTGCACGGAGGCTGAAACTCAGGCTGGCTATGAGAGAAGCGGTGGCATGGATCCCCCCTGGCTTCCCGACGCCACCTGGGGGGAGTCTCCCACATCGACCCAGAGCAACCTCTAGTCGGAAACAAAGCCGAGAAACAGCGAGGCGGGAAACGGCGCCATGCCCATTGAACACCAACGCTCACGTTCCACGGCAGCAGAGCTGTACCCTCCAGACCACACAGCCTGCTCACCACTCACGAAATCAGCACAGAGCATGCCCCCAGCGAACCGGGGAAGGATCCCCGAGAGACGCTGCAGCATATACCCCGCCTATACCGACTATAGGAGTCGGCTGACTGTCACAGCCGCACAAAGACTTAGGCCATGCGGCTCTGGAGGACTCTCTCTCACCGGACTTATACATCCCAAGATTGATAGCCTCTCAGAAATAGACCCACATATGCGGGACTCTGACTAAGGCCACCCATCTTCCTCACCTGACAACACAGCTTGAAATGTTTAATCACTCTTTTATGCTTAACCCGCTGAGTGCCTTCCCTCCTTTTATCCAGACTGCGGTGACTTATTATTTCATGTCTCCTTTGCTTTATTGTCCCTATATGTATAAAGCTCAACATGTTTTATTGTAAATGGTGTATTCAAATATACTGCAGCTAGCTTCTAAGGACACAGCTAACAAGCATGCTAGGATAATTG